TGGCTTCAGGGCACAGCCTCCATGGTTGGGGTCACCAGGGGTCCCTCCTGTTGGTGTCGTTCTGGACTCTGTCCACCCCGCATTGGAGAGGCTTTTCCATACAGGTCAGGAGGGGGGCTTGGCTGGGGCGTCCCCAAGGCCATAAGTACGACTGGTGGCAGATAGAACAGGACTCAGAGGACAAGACTGTCTCCTCCACGAGGAGGAACTCGAGGGTGCCCACGTCAGCCCCGGGCTCGCCCCTCAGCAGCAGGCCACGGGTGACGGAGGGGTCTCCAGGGAGAATTCGTTATGTTGGCAATCCTCCACCTCTCATTCTGCAACTGTGTTCCCGATAGGAGGTATGAGACCCCTCCGCTTCCGGCTGGGCTCTGGGTACCACCGTCACCTCCCCCAGAGTCAGGGAGACATCAGTCCTTCCCGAGGCCCGCTCCCCGCACGCTGCCTTCTGAGCTGCCCCCTTGAACAAGCCTTGGGAGAAAAGATCCCGGGTATGGATTCGTCGTCTTGCCACCAAATACTTACTGAACACTGTGGTGGCTGGAGGGGTGCCCCCTTCCCCCCAGAGACGTCCACAGCCTCCTCCCTGGCCACCGGAATTATGTTTCCTTACGTGGAAAAGGCACTTTGCAGATGTGATTAAATGAGAGTCCTTCAGAAGGACACAGATCCCAGATTATCCGGGTGGGTGGGTCCAATCTAATCACGTGGGGCCTTGAAAAGCAGAAGACTTTCGGGGAGCCTGGGTGGCTCAGTCGATGAAGCCTCCCACTCTTGGTTTCGGCTCAGGTCACGATCTCACGGTTCATGAGTTCGTGCTCCGCATTGGGCTCTGCGCTGACAGCACAGAGCCTGCCCGGGATTCTCTCTCTCTCCCTGTCTCTCTGCCCCTCCTCCACTCTGTCTCTCCAAATAAATAAACTCTAAAAAAATAAAAAAAAATAAAAAAGCAGACAACTTTCTCTGGCTGGAGTCAGAGAGAAATTCCACGTGTGAGACAGATCGCATCTGCCGTTGCTGGAGGGGACCTCCTGGAAAGGGTACCAAGGCACGTAGGTAGGTGAATTTCAAGAGCAGAAACCAGCCGTGCGAGGAAGAGAGGTCAGTCCTACAATCCCCAAAACCTGCCTTTGGCTCAAAAGCCTCAAGGGGCTTTGAAAGGAGAGCTTTCCTCAGAGCCCCTGATAAGAGCCCACCGAGGTCAGCTCCTTGAGTATGGCCTTGGAAGGCCCTGACCAGCGGACCCACGTTGTGCCTGGACTTCACTCCCTATTCTCACGGGGCTCACCACTGATGGGGACACACAAGACAACAAACAGAGACACGAATTTTAAAATCGGGTATCATTTCACGTGGAAAGAAGTACATCGAAAGTCTAGGAGTTAGAGAGTCTCCGGGTTGGGGGAGCTGTTTAACGAACAGGGTCAAGGGAGGTGATATTTTCAGAAGCCAAAAGCCGTAGGGGAAGGACATTCTAAGCACGGAAACCAGGACAGGAGGCTGATATCGATCAGTCCTGCCGACAAATCCCAGCATGGACACAGCAGACAGTCCTGGAGGACGGTGCACAAGCACGAGCTGCACAGGGTCTTAGAAGGGTGAGGGCTTTGGGCTTGCATGAGGGCAGGGGGCGGCCATTGAAGATATGTGGGGGGACGGCTGGTGTGTGTTTCCATAGCTCCCCCCCAACCCTGGCTGCTGCGTGGACAGTAGACAGAAGGGGATCAAGGGTGGAGGCAGGAAGAAGCTGGTGACATCAGGTGAGGGTTGACAATGGCACCAACCAGTGGGGAGCAGGGGAGGTGGTGGGAATCAGGCAGGTTTGCAACATGCTTTGGAACTAGAACGAACAGGACTTGGGCGTGTACCGAAAGTGAGGCATAAAGGGAAGAGCCACGTGGTGGGCTTTGGCCAGGACAAGCACATGGCACCCAACCAGAAGCGGTGTGCCATTTTCCAAAATGGTGGAAGGCACGGAAGCAACTTTCCGAGGTCCGCTGTTTCCCGTGTGAGGTTGTTTGTGCTGGGATACCCACTAGACCTCTGTGATGTTGCCTAGCCCATCGGGTTGGTGAGTCTGGGCTCGGGAAGGAAGTACAGGTAGAGGTATTCCGTTCATTTGGGAATCACCGGGAGAAGCCATTGGACTGGGTGAGATCCCCGGAGCGTAGATGGGCCTGGAGACAGGGAGACACCCATCAACTGACCCTGAGCCCCTCTAGCAGTAGGTTGGGTAGACGGTCAAGATGCACCAAAGTGAAGAAACTAAGAGGGGCCGGTTTTTGGGGTGTTGGTAGGGGACCAAGAGAGGAAGGCTGTGCAGCCAAATATTTTACAAAGGAAGAAATTTCAAGTCAACGTTAGAAGGATAACAAGGGAGCGGCGCCTGGGTGGCTCAGTCGGTTAAGCGTCTGTTCTTGATTTCGCGTCATGTCATGGTGTGTCGAGCCCCAAGTCTGGCCTCCGTGCCAACAGCACAGAGCTTTCTTGGTATTGTCTCTCTCCC